TGATATGGCTTTGTACACTTTTATTTCTTTAAATACATGCTCCACCTTGATTCGTCGTCGTGACGCAGACACTTGTTAAAGCGCCTTGCCCGCCTTCTTTCTCTGGGGTTCAGCAAATGCATTTGATTTGCTCTTACGGCCGTCAGCAATGGTCCACCATCAGGATAAGCCTTGTCCGCTAGAAGTTTTGCACCTTGTGGTAGGTCCAGAGGCTGTCCTGGTCCGATGCGGGTCATCAGCCTGTTAGATGTCGCATCGTGTGTACTACCAAGAAACCCGGCTTGAACATATCTCAAGTGTCCAAGGTTATCAATGATAAGTTGGGTGTTGAAACAGTGGTAGTGACGGTGCCCACTATAGAACGATCTCTGGGGCTCTGTTATGGGTCGGTATATCTCATGCGGGGTTGCGTCTATAGCACCCACTGCGTTTGGGAATTCTGGCCAATTTCCCCTGATGTTGGCCCATTCATTTACATTTAACCAGCGAATTTGATTTTGGAAATACCTCCACATCTCTGGTATGACTCTGTATATAATTCGAACAACAGTTGATGGGTCTGTATCGAACCACAGAGCTAGACTTTCCACATGCAGATATTTGCGTAGCCACATTAAAGCTAATAGAACTTGATTCGTGATGTTGAGTTGTGAGCGTCCTAGTCGTTGACGTGGTAATCCATCCCTYGTTAAACGGAATAGAGCTGGAGAAACATCTGCTACTAGCTGCAGAAATGACTGTTGGGTTTCACCTGTATTTCTCCAAAACAACCATGGCTGTCTTTGTATTAGAGAGAACACATCCCTGCCATCAAATCCACTKCCACGGAAGCCTGTAAGAAGACGTCTATTTAACGGCACGTTTTGTATGTTTAACGGAGGCTGGAAAGCAGACAGAAGTATCAAAATTGCTAGTATTTGCAAAAGCAGGACACGTATATCCTGAATCTGCATCTCAAGTTCACAGTAACTACCAGTCAAACTTCTATTTTTTGAATAATTAAAATCGAAGCGTGCAACTAACACCGTTATTGAAATTAGTCCAGGCTGTTTAGAGTTTTGCACTTCGGAATTTTCTGAGCATTCAGTGCCTATCGAGTGACAATTGAGTTTAGCTAGTTTACTTGATTATTTCTGATAAACGTTTTGTCAAGATGTCACAAAAAGATTCTCCAATACCGGGAAATTCACATGGGTTAGGTAACTAAACCATTTTTAAAAAGCCCATTTCTGGATTTTTGCGACAAATTAATTTTATTATCGTTTTCAACTTATGATTTGTAATTTTAATTGTGATAGGATCACTACCAAAGCGTGCTAATGTTGGTGAAAAGGAAATTTGATTTATTTCTAAATGCTACAACGAATGTAATAGCAAAGAGTGGCCTGAAATCCTACAGTACTGCAAAGAAAGAATCCTAGAGGCACAACTCCCTCATCATGTTGTGGCACTCTGTCTGGAGAGCCCACTGGCAAGTCAACTGATAACCAGAATGAAGAACATTTTAAAGAAAATGTTGGCTTCCCCGACTGAACCAATAGACTCCATGAAGTATGCAGAGAAGAAAACACCTTCCCAGAGAAGACAAGCAGTGAAGGACAAATTAGAGGGAGAGTATGTTGCGTCATCATCATGCGAGAGCGAGTTTGATGAAAAAGATGACTGCATTGCTGGTACGAACAAGGTATCTAAAAAGAGGAAGGTTGACAATGCAGCAGAAACCCAAGCTGCACATAAGAAAATGTGCGAAAAGGCTTTGGAAACGATGAGTAAAGTAGATGCCGTTTTAAGCAAGGTGGACAAATATCTAGATAAGAATAACTAGGCTATTAAAAAATGGAATCAAATCTTCAGTCTCGACTGTTATAGCGAGCTGGTATATTGTCACTTCTACTAAAAGATTTGTAATTTATAAACGTTGCTGTTGAATAAAACTTCTATAAAAATCTTGTAACACTTTTCAGTGAGTTTTTAGAGAAGTAAACTTGTTGGTGCTGGCCTATCTCTGGCTTCTCAGAAGTTACATATATGAAACTTCTGAAAAGCTGGAGATAGGCCAGCACCAGCAACAGCGAGTTTACTTCTCTTAAAACCAAATATAGCGTTAATATTTTTGTAAGCACGTTTTAGAATGGCAAGCGTTTTAACGTTGAGTTCGTTTACATTCCTGGAAATTATGACAAGTTCACAGAAAGTGCAATAAGACTAGCATTTTAAGGTTAAAACTTCTTCACGCAGATTATTTCGGTTTAATTTAGCTGGCAGTACGGTACGTAGATCATTAGCATATTAGCAAACTCATTAGAATTTTTAACCCCGGTTGTTGGAAAACGTTCTAGTGTTACACATTTCAACTTCCTTATAAGTTTCTGGGTGCCCTTGATCATAATTTTAGAGCTGCTTCATGTTTTTCTGAAACCTCTTTGACTTTTGGGTTTTTGCAGAGCTGGGGTGCTGTAGCCCCCACTAATTTTAATTACTGTACTTGTTTTCTATTTAAATTATCAATAGCCAATGCAATAAATATGTTGTAAATGCCCCTCAAAACACTAGAAATTGCACTTCCAAGGGTCTCAATTTAAAATTTTTCAAAATTACGCTCTGCTGTCCCTGTTTTGGAAATTTTTGCCTTCTATCAATCAAAATGATACTCAGAAAGTTTTAAGATGTGATGTGTGCTGCATCTGAGGTTTCTGGGTCACATAAGCATGAGAAATACTTTTACTTAATACTAAATATAGACACTTAAAACACTTGACTATGCTCTGTGTGGTTCTATTACTTTCATGAGCCTAGCAACCCACATGCATTCCATGGTTATCAGTATGCTGTTGCTGATAATTAGATCTTATTAACCAAGCGGGAGGTCTGTACGGGATAATCTTGACCGAGGTCTGTACCCGACCGAGGGCAAGATTATCCCGTACAGACCGACCAAGCTCGGTTGATAAGAGTTTTATTATATGACCAATTTTCATTGAAAAGGACAAAATGTTTTCGCCGTAAGATTAATATGCGATCGGACCGGTTAATACTGGAGAATCTAGACCAGTCCGCGATGCGATCTATCCAATCAGATTGCTCGATTTGCTAGTGTCCAGGCTCTAAGATTCATGGTCATATAATAAACTGATATATTAGACTATAATTATTACTCTAGATGGACGGAATTGTGTGGGTGTTTTTATTGCAATAAGTGAATAAGAAAGAAACTTAAAATTCTTGTAAAAGGTTTGCTGCTATACAAGCTGATTATGTTAGTCCTTTAAGAGTAAAAGATATTTGACAAAAAAGTAAGTTAACTTTGTTGACTGGATCCTTGATATTGTATCAGTGTAAAAACTCAATGATGTTGATATTTTTTTACAGGAAAGTGCGTGTTTCTCCCAATTCAAAGAGTTCGTTCTCCTTGTGGAATTTTTGTCAAGTTTTATTTGTTGTGGTTGTAATTGGTTCAATGGTGTCGATGCTGTGGTTCACTATCATCCTAAAGACATCTTTAGAGAGTATGAAAAAAAGAGTGTCAATTTGTAAGTATGCCTCTAATGAACTATCTATAAAAACAAAAATTAGCACAACAACAATTAAAAGCATAATTAAACACATTCCAAACATTGAAGCTTGAAATTTTTTTCCGAAAACAATTGCTTGAAGATCAATCAATCGAATCAATCAAATCCTTATTTAGCATCTTGTTTACAATTGATTAACTTAACATAAAATATAACATATTTTAAGGTGTCATACTAACTAAAGTAACCAGGGATTATAGAGGTAGCTAGTATAGGCTTGTAAAAAAAATTGCAGGATATAGTTGGGTAAAGTGTTTTTAATTCCCTGACTGCTGACTGGTACCTCAAGGAACATAATTCACATATTTAATAACTATCCAAGCGCAAAAATGCTTTAATACTTGTGGAGTAATTATGACTGGGTCCTGTATGAAGGAGGCCATTAGAAAACACATTAGAAAGTGGCCCTAAAACAGAATCTTTCACTTGGTACAAGAAGAGCTATAATTTTCATAAAAGCTCATCAGTGTCTAATTCCCTATAAGATGGGTTTTATTGAGGACCACAGGGTAACCTGTTCCTAAGTTTCCTTGAAATGTCCTTCAAATTGTGCTTTATTGTATTTTTTACTGGGTTGCCTGTGGCAAACCAGTCTTAAAATTCGTCTGGTTTTTTTTCCCTCCTCGACAAAATGGAAAAATTGCACAATATTACCCACATATGGATTGGACTACATGTCAATAACTTGCAGGCTATTGTGAAATCGAATTGTGCATGTTCTTTGAGGATATGTGGCCAAAATTTTATATCTTTAGCTTTTTATCGGGATAAAGTTGGCGACATTCAATTTCACGCAGTAGACTTTCATCGTGGAGTTTTACTAGTAAGTCATTTATTATCATTCGTGTTCACTGTTCAGTGAGATAAAATTCAATAAAATAATAAGCGACAAAAAAAGAACCTTAAGGCAGTCTTGGTCAACAACTCGAAGATTTGCTCTAAAAAACAACCAGTGATATACAAACCCAAATAGAGACAAGCTGAATGATATTTCTAAGGAAATTCATAGAAAAAGTTGGCTTATTTGAGTGAGCAAATGAATGTTTTATGAGTGAAATACTGACATATCTTCTTCCATCGGGTTCATTTACCGCGGGCAAGTTTGGGCAATTTCATATTGTCGGGTCGTGGCAAGCTAAGTAGTATAGTGTGACATGCATAACGCAACACTGTTTATTTGCGTTCCACGGCTTGATTGATATCAAAGCGGTCAAACCAGAAGCTAAACTTGGAGCTTTGACGTCCAGAATAAAATAAGTAAAGGAATTTGTAGAAAAGCTTGTCTTATTTCAGCAAGCAAATAAAACTTTTCTGAGTGTAAGTGCTGATTCAATTTTGTCTTGTTTCGATTTGATCCCATGGTCAGATTTTTAAAATTTTTCCTCTAAAGTTAGGTATTACGAAGTATTTTCAAAAAATGAAATAAAAAAGGAGGGTGGATGACTTCGTTTATACATGCACGGAGATTACAGTACAGACGTTAATTTTTATGAGATTTTGCTTATCAAAACATTGGAATGATATCATAACAAGGCAACCCAGTATGCCCTCTAAGAGCGTCTTGTTTACCTTCGGAGTGGGCCTAAATACTAGGGTATTTTTGACAAAAATGGAAATGACGCTTTAGAAATAAAGTATATTATTATATTATTACATGTATTTCTTAATTGCTTCAGCTGTGTTTATTCCTGAGAAGCTGTTTCATTTTTTTGACATGAATATAAGTTTTTGTTACCACCATTGAAAATATGGTAGTTTAATATTTTAAACAAGTGAATATAATAAACCCAGTGTGCTCATTGGTCACAATTTACTTCTTATGCCATTATATTAACCTACAGGTGAATATAACCCACATGCTCCTTTGTCCATATCTGCCACTTGCAGAGATAAATAAAATTTGAAAAAACTTTCTCTCCATTATTTATTGACTTCACGTGTGTGTTAAAAATAATAAGACAATTATTCACCTCAGGCTCGGTGAATATCGGGCCCGATATTTATTTTAACCATTGTTAAATATTAGCATAAACAAATTAGTGAACTATTTCACATTGTGTGTTGTGATTGGCTAAGTTACTAGTGGTCTATTTTTCATAGTCTACAGTAGTAGTTTTGGTTTTGGGGGAAAAAAGACAATGAAAATCTGTTTTCTTTGGGATTTTTTTCCTGCCATTTTTATTGTAGTAAGAGAATAAGCTTTGGACTGCCCCTTTCGCTCTGGGCTATTGCACTAATAGCAATAGCAAGGGCAAACTGTTTAAAAATACATAACAGTGCAGTCAAGAATAGGATAAGGATTTAGGGTGACAGTACAACAAGAGGTCAAAAGATGTCAAGATGTATCTTTACACATTGTAAGAGCATTTGGGATATTTACCTTTTTCCTTCTACCATAAATCCAAAGTATATACAATATTTATCTTTCTCTAACAAAAAAATTATTTTCCAACGAAAATACTTTAGTCTTTATCGAACGGTTAAATATTTAATTTCTTTTGTCTCAGCAAACCTACAAGTAATTTATTCCACCGGAAGTAGGAGGGAATTTTAACCGGAAATACTTTTTCATTAGCCTCACTTGTGAGTGTATGCATGACACATCCAACTTCATCATTTCAATCAGACAAGCAAAGGTTCTGGTGCAATTTAATACCAGCTGAAAAATCGCTTCCTCATTTGTAAAGCGTTAAATTCCTTTACATTTATGGCGCTGAACTTATGGGCAAGCACCGACTCAAGTTTAAAACTATGAAATTTCCAAGTCGTCAAAATGGGACTTTGATCCCAGATCGAGATTCTGACTCGGATGTACAGGAGTTTGCCCTCCCGAAAAAGAGAATCGTAAAACCCGGTAAAAGTCCATATGTGACCAGGTAAATGAACTCGCAGGTTATTCGGTTTGTTTTTGATCAATTTTGGAAATTATTTGTAATTTTTTGCACGGACTTTCACGTTTTTTTGTTGTGTAATTTTGTTTCAGAAAGCGAGCAGGATGCTGCCGTACTTGTGCGTCCATAGTCTTGTCCCTTATACTCATAGCATCAGTCCTCTGTGTTGTTGTTCTTGGCTGGTTCAGTTTACGGCTAAAGCGAGATTTAGACTTATTGAAAATACGGCTTGCTGAAGGTTGGTTGGCTAGTTCTTTCAGGTTTTACAAGGCTGAATGTGAGCGTTTTTGAGCATTGAATTTGAATGAATTGGTTTTCACGCGCGAGTGATTTAACAACTGTTGCTTGCTCGCTTTGAAAATTCTCCTCTGACGGAAGATTAACACTTCCTTTTTATTATAATTTTTTGACATACACTCAAACTCTTAGGGAGGAATTCCTTCGCCCTTCCTGTAATCAAATTCCAGTCTTTTATCTTAAAGCAAAACACCAGTTTTAAGCTTATTTTGGCTCCGGACTAATTTTTGCCTCGGACCAATCATTTCGAGACAATTTCGTGCAGACTATTTCTGGGCTTAGACGAACTAAATCAAAATACTTCTTTCACTTTCTACTCGCTATTACAAACCATTTACATGAACAAAACCTTTCACTCATTCTTTATCCTTGGTCTTTGCTTACTGATAGTAATCAATTATTTATGTGTTATCCTTGCTCGGCTGGCTGCACAAGTGGGCTTGTTTGATTTTAGTTCGCTAAATATGTTTTAATAATTTTCTACACGTCAACTCTTTCCCTTTGTCATTTTTTCCAGTTTAAAAAAAAACTTTAGTGCTTTTATATTTTTGTTTGAATTCCTTCAGAGATAACATAGCGTGTAGTTTTAGCTTGCGGTTTTTCGCCAGGTGCAAAAATATAAAATTTGGACTCAAACTAATGTTCATCCAAACCATCTTCTATGCCAGCCAATGGCTCGCGTTTTGGTGATTATAAATCATAGATAATTTCGCGTGGATGTTATTGAGATTAATTCAAACATTCTCCAGAATGGTTTTCTATAAATTAGCGCTAGAGTACTCGCTTCAAAAGCACCAATTCTTGTTCGAATCTTCATTAGAAGTACTTTGGTCATCTAGTGTTTTTCAAGAGAATTATTTTTAAATATTGATTAGATGAATGAATGAAAACTCGAGACTCACCAGGTACTAGATTCCTAGCACTAGATCAAACAATGCACTTGTTTAATATTCTATTCCTCTTCATTTGTAGCTCGATAATAGTTTTCTTTATTTGATATGAACAGCTGCGTATAGTAATCTGATTTAAAGGTTGAGAAATAACTACTTTAGGAAAATTCCGCATTATTGAACCTGTCGTCTGGCCATAAAAATTTAAACTGAAATAGTAATAATTATACCAACACTTTCGCTTTGCTTCTCGACAGATCTCCCGACTATTGAGAGTCTTCAAAATCATTTAAAATATTGCTTTTCAACTCCTACTAAAAATAGGATATTTTTAAGAGGAAGGCTTTTCGTGATAACGCGTTATCACGCTTTGTACGATTGTGATCACTGAAATGGATAGTTTTTAAATGAATGTTTAATAGCCGAGGTCTTACTATTTGGGTATTGGTGATACTTGGTGAATAARTATATTGAATCAGCCGCTTATTCTGTCTCATGCCTAAGATTCAAGCTAGTAATGTTATCACATTTAAAATCTTCCCAATTATTTTTAACTTGAAATTTAAATAAATGAGAAGTACGAGCATAAGTTTCATAAAGATTTATTTTGACAGATATTGCAAAATTCATTATTGGAAGTAAAATCACATATTGAGACATTTATTGTTTACTCAGATTAGATAAAGGAGCCTTGTGTGTTTGATTGAAAAAATATAATGTTAATATTTTATAAGTTTATGAGTGTTACCTAAAAATACTAACTTATTGAAAGAGTACTATAGCTGTAGGCTACTGGGTAGAAATAGTCATATGTCACTGATAAAGCAGGTATAATTACATATATTGTGACCATATATTGATAACCAAAAATTCTTATGAATTGTGCTAACTTTATTTAACCATTTCTTATTTCTTTTCTTTGTTTCATTTTTATTTCCCAGTGGAAACATCTGACAGAAGTACATCCAAAGAATGCTTGGAACAGGGGAAAGACTTACAAAAGAAATTAGAACTATTGAGAGGATCCTCTTCTGGTCATTTAGAAACAGCAGAAAAGAATTTTCATTTATTATTTAAAAGAGTAAGTACAAGATGAGTGTCCGACTTGATTCATACCTAGATACCATTGTACAAGATAGCTAATAAACCTTTATCAAGACACCCACTGTCTTGACTCAGGAACTAGATTTGATTGATTTTAGATGAAAATCCAACATGATAAGAAAATCTTAACTTTCATTCTCTTTGATTAAAGTACTATGATTAGCTGGTGTGGGATAGAAATTTAGATAACTGTGGTTATTATGATTACAGAACTAAATTATTGATATATGAGGTATACATAAAGTACAAGTATTAATCCCCTTTTCATAAGATAGTCCAACTGTCACTTAGATCTGTAAGTGATTGGATGCAGCAACTGATAAATTTATGTTTCACAAGTCGTAGATTAAGATTCCTATCAAAAGATCATGTGACAAGCAAAGAGAGAAAGCAAAAGCAATAGTGTTGATAACCATTACCATGTAATAATTATTATTTTGACAACTTTGTAAATAACCTTTATATTTATTTCTAATCAAACATAAGTTAAGGACCATTATTTTGATCACTGAAAATAATGAAAAAATTATAAATATTAGTATTTTTGTACAAGTGAATATAATAAAACTGGCACTCTCATTGGTCACAAATTAGGCCTTTTGCAACAGTCATGTGCTGATATATCACTTTGCTAATGAATCAATTTAGCAGAAGGTCCCTTGGGGTAGGATCTGCTAGGAAATTTTCTGTGATTTGAGTTGAAGTTCGAGTTTGAGACCAAGTTCAAGTTAGGTACCAGTTTACTTCACTCATTTTTGTGATCCTGCGACTGTTACCGCTGTGAATAAGCATTTTGCAACAAACAGTAACATGCTGATATATCACTTTGCTAATGAATCAATTCAGCCAAAGGTCCTTTGGGGAAGGATCTGCTTGGAGATTTTCTGTGACTTGAGTTCGAGCTTGACACAGAGTTCAAGTTAAGTACCAGTTTACTTCGCTCGTTTTTGTGATCCTGCAGCCATTACCGCTGTGAATCACGTTTCTAGTTCATTTGATTTGCCTGTGGAACTCTTTTACGAAATACTTTCACTGATTACAACAAAAATGTTTTGCGATTCTCCTATAAGTTTGATTGAGAGAGAGAGAGCTGACAATATAACATGGTGATAGTCGTCTAAGAATTACCGTTTGCGATTGGCTCATAGTGTTTGATTGACCGCGAAAATAGCACTTTTTTGGTATCGACGTCTGTTTTCTCAATGCAATGGTGCTCTGAAAGGAAAACGTTTCTTCTCTTTTACGACTTTTATGACATGAAATTATTTCCTGACGATGTGGTACGAGGATAAGGGAAATTTCAAGCTCTATATCTTTCACTTTCGGCTACAGATGAATGAAAAATATCGTACAAATATTTTTCTTTCAAACTTATGCTTCGAAGAAAAATTGATTTTATTAAAGCTCTCAAATTGTTTGAATGACAAAGAAATTGTAGAATCAGTTATTCTTCTATTCACTGGGCCTAATTTTGGTTATTGGCAAGGTTTATATACTGCACACGCTCGTTTGTCAATGTGTGCCCCTTGCAAGGATAAACAAATATATAACATTAATAATTTTAACAATAAATAGTGAATAAAAATTGATAATGATAAAAAAATTTCACTTTTTTTTCAGATCGAAGATCTTAATTCTACAGTGAAATATTTGCAGTCCAAGCTGAAATCACCCCAGAGCATATCGTCAATCAACAATGACATTAAGTTACTTAAAAAGGCAATGGCAGACACCAGTAGGGAGATTACTGAGGTCACTGATAAGTTCAATCGACTTAGAAAGATTGCACTTCTACAAAATACCAACATTAAACACCTGAAGATTCAATTGTACAATGTTTCTGTAAGTAAATAGATCTTCCAAGCTTGTCTTCCTTTTTCAAATTTTCTAACTTTAAATTTTATTTATATTTTGAGACAGCCAGTGGGCTGATCAAAATCAGAACATGGCTAACTTAAAAAAATGAAATTGGAATTAAGCTTGTTAGGTTTTGCAGCAACTCCTTTAAATCTTATAATGAAAAGTACAATTAAATAATTAATAATAAGCTTTATTAAGGTCTCAGGACTTCTAGTTCAGAACAGGTGCTTTACTAAATAGGGAGACCTACAAACTAAACTAAATCATTTATACATTGTTATTGTCTCGGACAGTAATGTTTTGCACATCTTTATCTATCTACAAAGCTTTTGCTGTTGTATCACAGCGTGGGACAATCACAACAGAGCTAGACTCCAAACTAAGTGAAAGCCGAGAGATCGAATTAGAATTTATAGAAGTTGATTTTTGAGGAGGGAGGAAAACCGGAAAACCCAGAGAAAAACACTCAAAGCACAGGAGAGAACCAACAAATAACTCTTCTCACATACGACATTGAGATCGGCAGGACCCCAACTCAGGCCGCATTGGTGAGAGGCGGCACATTAGCGATGCACGCCACTGGTGCTTCCCTCATATTATCATAAAGCATAATATTCTGCTGGGTAGATTGAAATACCGTTAACAGTTTACTGGTATTCCTTTGTGGTCAAATATGCTAAGTTTAACAGCAAATCAAACTGTTTGTGCTTTAAGGTGCAAATAGCTAAGCTATCTGGACAACCAACTCCAAGTCCACAGTTACACACAGCCACCCAACCATGGCTCCTTCGGGTCCCAGGTGCTGATAGTGGTAGTCACTCTAAAACAACATTACATGCTGAAGAAGCTGAAAAACTGAGATTAAACATTACTGCTCAAGTCAGGAAGGTATTAATTAATAATTTCTGATCTTATCAAAATCCATTGTTTTCAGTCTGCATTATCCCAACGAATGCATAGAGGAAAATCAGACATATTTAGTTCATTCATTATTGGCTTTGTTTCTATGATAAACAAGCTAGAAAGAAAACAATTGGATTTTGATGAGAACAATAATTATACTAGATAATCACTTCGGCACGCAGCATTCGTAGGTATAATGCAGGCAGCTTCGGCCTACGCCCTCAGCTGCCTGCATTATACCTACGAATGCTGCGTGCCTCAGTAATTATCTATTAAATATTTATGAAATATTCGAGATATGATCTATGCTGACTGGCTGGCTACTGTGTTTTTATCAGAGGACAGAGACATGCTGTGCAGATTCACTCAAAAATGTTTTATAAAAGAGCCATATGAAATGGTTACTTGTGTCTGTATATATAATAATATGCATGAGCATGTCTCGGTATTGTGATATGAACATGCAGTGAGCTGTAGAGCATGAGAGAAACAAGCTTAGGAACATGATGCATAGCCAAGTGTTTTTCTTAATTTTCAACTTTAATATTCTTTAAAATGATTGTCATATTACAGTAGATACTGTATCTATTCTTTTTGCTCAGCTCCACCCCAAAATTAATATGAAAAAAAATAAATGTTTTACACTTTTCATTTTTTAAATGCAAAACAAATTTTTGTCTCAAACAACATGTTGAGAATGTTTGTTTGCAAATATCTGATTTTATTTTTTTTAAATAAGTTTATTTTTGACAATGGTTGAATTTGTTTTGTCTGTGGGTGCATGCATGCTTTGCATGTCTGGAAGGAAATGTAATTTATGACTTTGCAACTGAACTGATAACTGATTTATTATTTAAAATTTCCTAGGGAAACAAGGTCTTTGAGCCAACCCCTCCCCCCTCTCCTCAATAGTTCACAAAAAAGGAAAGCAATTCAAAAATGAAGTCAGCATACATTGACGAGGGATGCTATTTTGCTATTTTCTTTGGTTTGAAGGTGACTTGGTTTATGACCAGTGCTTTGCTTTTTCTAGGACATATTAAAACTGGTCAGTTTGGTAAGAAAATCCAACAAGACTGTTCAGAGTCAAGTTCATGAACTGAATGTTAGGTTGTCAGGAATGGCCAATAATGTCTCAGAACACATGGTAGGTAATAGGATTGTCAAATAGATCATGTACATGAGGAATAGTGCAACGCATAGCAATGATTATTTTACTGGCTATATTTTGATTAGCCATGACCAGCTGATCATGCAAAGGATTTTTGTCAAATCAAACAGTATACCCTGATCTCCTATTTCATAATATCTCAAGGTTATCAAAATGGCGGCTGGTAACTAATTAACACGGTTCGTGCTACTCCTTAAACTCCTTGAAAATTCCTTAAATTTAATTCACGTTTTCAAGGGCGCTTGAAAACCATGGTTCTGAAATAGATCTAGTCAGAAAGACTGGAAAATCTGAAAGTTGGCCATGTGCAACCACTGTGTAAAACCTTGGCACTATTTAGCTGAACATACTCCTTGAAAATTCATTTTTGGGTCCTTGTATACTCCTTGAATAGTCCTTGAATTTTAAGTGGTTACCTCAGCACAAACCCTGAATTAAGACAACACAGATTTTGTTTACTTTTATTGCATGTATGCTTTGTTTTATTAATTCTGATTGCTGACAAGAGGAAGCTTTTATGGTACATGTAACAAAAATTTTTAATCTAAATATTTCAGGATGTATTTTAAAAAGGTTAAATCAAAATACGACTCCATTTTGAAATTCATCATGGAAATTTTGGCAATGCAACAAAAATACTTTTGATTGGTTCATAGTAACCAAAAGTGTGTGCGCAAGATCACCTGGGAAGGTTCGTAGTATTTATTTAGGGTGTTGGGTTGCAGTTAAGAATGGGGTTTGGAGAAACCTTAATTTCCTTGACCTACAACAACTCCTTGCATACCAGAACAAAAAGAAATATATAGAAAAACGAATACAAAATGTGAATAAGGAGTTGATAAAAGCATGTTCATGAAATGTAACTATGTTTGCTGGTCTGGTATCCTAAAAATTGTGCATTCTGATTAGCTGTTTAATTAAGCTGGCAATATTTTCTCAGTATCTGCCCGCAGTCCTGTATCCTGACGTCATCAGCAAGTGCGCATGGGATAATGAATTGCTAAACAAGTCAAAAAGTGAAGAAGGAAAAGGGTATTAACCATCCTAAAGTCGGTCAGAATACTGTGCCCGAGGTCTTTTGCTAGACTGATTTTCAAGATTATCCAGGCCTCCTGGTTGATAAATAATGAATGAATGCAACACTAAATAAATATAATTCATAATAGTTTCCCTGCTGTAATTATAGGCCTTGATTGACAGTCTGATAAAAACAAATGTACAACACAATGATAAAACTGCTAGCAAGAAGAATAGAGTGACTTCCATCCCAACAGATGTTCCCAGTCAGTACAAGAACCTGACCAAGATGGTGGCAAGCCTTAGGAATATGTTTGATGAACATCTTCAACGATTTCAAGAAATGGTAAGAACGATAATTATTTGTGTTCTGTAGTTCAATTGCCCTATTTCACTATGACGTCACTGCTTGTTTATGTGAGGGGTAGAATCGCCAAATCCAATAGAACATTCAACATTTGCCCCTAGCGAAACAGTTTAATCTAAAATGGCCTGGTTTTCAGATGTAATATGTGTTAATATGTACTAAAAAATATTCTGAGCGTTTGCTGGCTATTCTACTGCTTTTCATGGATTGATACGGGTTTTAGAACAATTTTCGGTGAATTTGCGTTGATTTCACCCCCTTCAACGTCCATTATCTTAACAAACACTTATTGGATTATCCTTTGTGTTTAAACAATAGATTGTTTTGATTTGACGTCATAGTGAAATAGGTGAATTTGATTTGACGTCATAGTGAAATAGGTCAATTTTACACTACAATGGAATATTTTGTTATGAGGGACTTGATTCTCAAGATTAAAGTAAGACAAGTTTGTGCATAAAATGAATAAGCCTGACCAATTGGATTGACACTGCATTTGGTCAGTCTTTCTCTGATTAGTTTTGTTTGTTTGTCTGTTTGTTTATTTGTTTGTCTCTCTGTATGCTTGTTTGTCTATTTGTTTTTCTGTTTGTCTGCCTGTTT